GAGTTGATGTGATCAGTGAAATTTTGGACTTCCTGGGCTTTAATTTTAACCCAGGTGTCGTCAACATATCTGAACCAATGGCTCGGTGGCCAGCCCCTGTTAACAATAAGTGTTAATTAGGTGTCAACGATAGCCATGTGATGTGAGTATCAGTCACACGGAGGCTGGGCTTAAAAGCCTGAATTTTGCCTGAAACTCTCAGACTGAAGAAGTCTCTTGGAGAAGAGCCGAAACGTTTCATTAGAGAAGAACCCGTCCAGAGGACCTACACATTTTTTTTCTTTTTAATTTAATCATTATTTTTTATAGTTTCATTTAAAATACAAACTGATAAAGTCACCTCCATGATTTTGTATGTTGGTTTGTGCAGTGAAAACGACGCGTCGTCAGAGAACGAGCAGCTGCTGAGCCGCAGCATTGACAGCGACGAGGAGCCCACGTCAGATAAACAGGGTTCGCCGGAGACCCCGACCGCCAACCCCAACCCGTGCCTCGTCGACCTGGGTAACAAACCGGACCTCTCCCTGCTCTCTCTGGGACTCCTGGGCCGCGGCCGCGCCTGCAACGGCACCTCTGCTGTCGTAGCCACCCACGCTAACGGCATCACAAGTCCCACCCACATGAACGGCATCAACCATATGGCCTCCAGCAACCACATCAGCGGTGTGAATGGGATCAACAACAATAAAACACTGGGGGTAAGAAGTTGACGCTTTTTAAAGGAGACTGTGTAGAATGTAATTTTGAAATTACCTACAAACGTGTCATAAAATGTGTTTAAAACGTTGACTTTTTTTTTGCTGTATACAGATGCTACAGAGTCGAAGGAAAAAGATATTAGACCTTTACGCTAGAGCGTGTAATGTGAGTGAGGGTAAGTGTAAATACAATATGTATGGAATAAATCTTGTGTCAGCAGGAATTGAATTTGAATTGCTCAGATTGAATTTGTACGTGCATAGTTTGAAATTGAATACTTTGGTTTGAAAATGAATTTCACTAAATTGAATGGTTTGAAACTGAATTTAAAGTTTTGTATCTGAATTAATTTGCTTTGAAACTGTATTTTGGTTTATTAAAAATCCAGTTTGACTACTTTTACTTTCAGTTCCATAATTCAATTTCTGTTCCAAATTTCAGATTTTCGTGTCACACATCCTGGTCCTTGAGAAAGCCAGGCAGAGTAATCAAACACAGATCCACAGATTTACGTTTCACTTTGGTGAAGTTTCCCTTCTGTGTGTAACAGAGTTGATGCAATCCACCGTAAAGGTGACAAAAACAAACTGTTATTTTATTGCAGTGATTAATTTTACCCATATGTAGAAATTGTTACATTTACATCACACACAGTATGGATCACATATTGATCAGATGCTGCTGCTGACTGATCCATGAGGGGATGTAAATGTAACATTTCCTAAATATAGGTAAAATTAATCACTGCAATAAAATAACTTTGTCTGTTTTTGTCACTTTTATGGTGGATTGCATCAACTCTTCACCAAAGTGAAAMGTGGATTTGTGTTTGATTACTCTGGCTGGCTTTCTCAAGGACCAGAATGTGTGGCATAAAAATCTGAATTTTGGAACTGAAAGTGAAAGTAGTCAAACTGAATTTCTAATAAACCAAAATACAGTTTCAAAGCAAATATAATTCAAATTCAAAACTTTAAATTCAGTTTCAAATCATTCAATTTAGTGAAATTTATTTTCAAACCAATGCATTCAGTTTCAAATTATGCACATTCAGATTCAATCTGAGCAATTCAAATTCACTTCCTGCTGGCACTTTAATCCCACGCAACAAATTACTTTCAGTTTTGTTAGAAGTTACTAGTTGATTAATTAAAACCTGTTTTCTTTTTTTTTAAATTCCTGCAACCTGTGCAGGCCTGAGCCCCACAGAGCTTCCCTTCGACTGCCTGGAGAAGGCGAGCCGCATGCTGAGCTCGTCCTACAGCAGCGAGGCGGCGGTGGTGAAGACGTGGCGGCACCTGGCCGAGAGCTTCGGTCTGAAACGTGACGAGATCGGGGGCATGAGCGACGGCCTTCAGCTCTTCGAGCGAGTGAGCACRGCTGGCTACAGCATCCCGGACCTGCTCAGCCGCCTGGTGCAGATCGARCGGCTGGACGCCGTGGAGTCGCTCTGCGCCGACGTGCTGGGGAGCGGCGAGGTGGCGGCAGTGGCTGGACGGCAGAGCATCAACAGTTTTCACAGCCAGTTGGTCTGTCCCTCCCCGTGCACGTCGCCATCCCAGCGCTGCGCCAGCGTCTGAATATACGGCGGAGCAGACTGAAAAAGACTTGGAAGACTTCCAGTACACATATATGTAAGGACAGATTTAGTTCTGACAAGGATGAATGTGCATATAGTGTACACTTTACCCCTATCACATGAAGAATGTCAGTGGGCTCTCTGTCCACRGTCCTTAATCTGTCAAAAGCTAACAGCCTGAAAGAGTTTTTCCAGATGCTACAAAGTTTGGAATTTATATTAAAAAAAAGGAAATCAATCCTTATCAATAGTGACAATATATTCCCTAGTTTGCAATTTCAGCCTCTTGTCTGTGAGACTATAATAACCAAACTTTTATTTTTATTAGCATGTTCTCTTCTTCAAATGCCATAAAATTGTATAAAAAAAATAGCTGGAAGGCCTTTGCGCTGGACGCATCTTTATCCTTGAAGTTTTGACATGGAACTCATATCCCCACCCCCACCCAGTTAAAGCCAGACACTTGTGTTCGTACAAAGACCGCGGCATTAGTTAGCATTCATGGCTGCTCCGATGACTGGGCTGTCATCACACAGGGAAGCCAGCAGATACAAGCTCCCTACTTAGAATGCAATCCTCGTGGCCAGCTGGAAATGCTAAAAACCATCATTCAGCTCAGCTTTCATCTCGTAAAATCATCTGAACTTTAGGCATCAGTCGACACCCCTCTCCATCTTTTGCTGAATCCTAATTTCATTAAACACCATTGCCAAAGAAACACATTAGACTGATTTTTCTTCCTTTTTTTTTTCATTTTTAGTGCATTGCAAGGATTGCATTCTGTAAAGTTGGGGTTTACTCTGCAATAGTGTTATCAATTGATTAGGTGTGGATGAAGCAAATGGAAATGTTCAACCTCACAAAAAAGCAAAAGAAAGAAACTCCAAAACACATGGATTGGTTTTAGGTGTTTAGCATTCAAGCATTTGTGCCATGTACCGACTGAACATTGTTCTGCCTAAGACCAGATGCCCTCAATCCACTGTCAACAACTTAAACCCACAGATTTAGGTACTCTTCAACTGCAGCTACTTCCTCAGCGGTGACCCAGTCTTTGACCGCGCCCCCCAATAACTCTGCCTGTTACTCCCCTACACCCCAGTCTTGTGGTCCAGTGCTGCCGCCATCCCTAATTTTTTAGCATGTGGCTCTATGCCCCTAATAAGCTGAAAGTGTTGTGGTTTACAGAGCGGGTGCAAAGTGCCTGTGATTTCCAGCACCTTATTAAGCATTTAGGGCCACTTAACCACTGAAAGCCCAGTAGAAAAGCTATAAAACCCCCTTGCATTAAAAAAAACAAAGATTGATGCCAGGGCAGATGACTAATTAAMCAGCCCCAGGGTTCTTGCACTGTGAACGGTGCAAGAATGCCGCCCGCTGCGTTGGAGGTAGCACTAGCTTCAGCGTCTTTTTCAGCCTTTGTGGTTGGCTCAGTCATGCTCAGGCAGGATTTTAGCTCCCCTCGCCCCTATGGGACCAATAGACTAAACAAGAACAATATGCGTTCGTGTGAGTTCTGGAGAAGCARCTGAGGCTGGTTAGGTGTGTGCGCACGGTTCAGACACTGTTCCTCTGATAAGCATCGGGCTAAACGTTTTGAGGAGTTGATGCTCGCTGCGCCTCTAATAATACTCGCTGCAGGTGAAGTTTGCTCGTTTCTGCAGCAACTATCCGTCACGACTCAAAGTTCTCTGAWGTCAGAGCAATGCCAAGGGCTGCTTTGATCTCACTACGTGGAGACAGGACCGATCTCAATCTGATGTTTCCGGTATAATGTCCTAGGTCTGCCCTGCATGTACGTCTCTTCCTCTTAACACWTTTTGTCATCTCTTCCATTGCAATCTGGGGCAGGACTCCTGTACTTTAAATTAATTTGCATACTTGCTTATTGACTCAGTAATTTCTTTTTGTTTTTGATCCAAAGATTCAACATAAGCATAACCCCTTCTCAGTTTTCAGTTCAGTTACGATTTGAAATTATTTTTTTTATGTTTCATACGAATTTTGTGAAAATAATTCTGTTGAACTGAAATGAAATGGAGCAAACATTCAGGAACACAAAAATGTTATCCAATATATATATGATATGATGACAAAACACAGAAGCCATACATAATTACTTACCTCAGTAGCACATAGAATATATTACAACTTGTAGAAACACACAAATCATCACAGAACCAAAGTGTAACTGTATATATAAGTTATTATTGTACATAAATATTCCTAAATAAAGATGTATGATGGAACTTATGTTGTCCTATTTTTGTGATGCAGTAACTGTAAATTGCCAAAAGGCAAATGTGCAGAGGTCTATAAAGTACTTGAAAAACATAACTAAGTAAAAGTAAAAATACCTTAACAGAAAATGACTTTGGTAAAAGTAAATTTCACTGATGAGAAAAGTACTTAAAAGTCATAAAACTGTTCATAAAAATTGGGAAAGTAAAAGTGCTTTTAAACACTCTCTAAGAATTAAACTATGGAATTTAATTAACCAAAGTGGTTCCGCTAAACCAAGTGGAGAAAATATTCTTGCCTCATATATACTCTACTGGGTTTAGTGAAACCAGCTGACATGATTTGGTTAAGTAAACTCAACACTTCATTTTTTAGTGTGCATAAAAACTTTCATGATGAGTTTGGACATATATAATTTTGTAATGAGTAACTAGGTGTTAAATTTTCAAGTAAAGAAGTAAAAGTATCAATTTTAGGTTTTAAATGTAACAAAATAAAAGTAAAAACAATTTGAAGAAAAAAAATACTTGGTAAAATTATAAAACCTCAAAAAATTACTTAAGTTCTGTAACAAAGTAAATGTACTTAGTTACTATAAACCTCTGCAAATGTGGACAGTATTATTTGTGCTTTAGTGGTCTTAGAAAACACTAAAATGACAATAATTCRGTCAATGTTACAGATATTGAGCTAAAATGTAATTTGTTTGCAGCTGAGTTTAGATCCCAATTTATGATCCAAGTGCTACTCATTGTGCAGTATCTTTGCAAACTTTGCTGCTGAAGTTGGCCGCGTTTGTTGTTTAGCAAAAATATTTCAACCACTGGACACGATTTTAATGAAACATTTGGAAAGCATCACTGAAAATACATCTGTAACTAGCTAACTTTTAATCACCTCAATTCAAGACGTCTGCAAAAGCAAACCCATGTTAGCCAGCACAGAAATAGCCATAACTACAGATACTTTACAAATGTTGAGCTAAAATGTGACGTGGTAGTAGCTGACTGTCATAAATAACACACTTGAAGTGTGAAATTGCAAAATGTTGCACACATTGTTCTTTTTGAGGTGTGATTAAAACAGCTTTTCAACGTTTTTTGGTTTCAGTTTAAAACTCAAGGGGTGGGGAATGTRCACCCTTTCAAGGAATGTTAGACCTTTAATTATTTATGCTACGTACTATGAGATAAAAATCATTTGTAGAAATTTTTGTTTGTTTTGAAATATTTGGCACAACTGCAAAAAATGTCCACCTAACCAAGTTTTAAAATCTTATATCCAGCCAAAAAGTCTTTTAGATCTTGTTTTAAGATTGATTTACTAAACAAGAACTGATTGTGTAAGAATAATAATCTTGTTTTCAGAATGTGTAAGATTATTTGTCTTGTTAGCCTGAAAATTTGACTCAAATTAAGTCAAAATATCTGCCAGTGGAGTAAGAAAATTTTTCTTGGTAAGACTTCGTGAAATACTTGATTTGACTCAATTTTTTTTTCAAAATCTTACCAAGTAAAATTTTCTCTCCATTGGCAGAAAATTTTGACTAATTTGAGTTAAATTTTCAGACTAACAAGACAAATAATCTTACACATTCTGAAAACAAGATTATTATTCTTACACAATCAGCTCTTGTTTAGTAAATCAGTCTCAAAACAAGATCAAAAAGACATTTTGGCTGATATAAGATTTTAAAACTTGGTAAGATGGACAGTTTTTCTTTACCATAAATTTTCATGTGATGCTGTAACACGTTTAACAGACTCCCTGTGACGTTGCGACACTGGTTACTAAAACAAGTAATGAAACACTTAGCTGAGATTTATAAACCTGAAAAAAGTTTTCATTAATTAAATTAATCAAACTCGGAGTAGCTGCATTCTTAGAAACATCAACCTAAACAATTCTGATGTGAACCATTCTCCTGCACCTTCAAATCTTTTTACTAAAGGCTTATTTCTAATGTGCAGCTCCGGCGGCTGATGCTACCACCGGACACCAGTTTTGTCATCAGGCCTTTCATAGCGTGGGTGTGTAGTTGTGCCAGAATACCAAAAACCTTAGCTAAATAATGAGGTGTGACCGTGCTGGCTGGCTGTGCTTCTCAAGGTTGCTTTAGAAAAGTCTGTCTGGCAGTGAAGACGCTCACTGATGTTGCTGCGAGGCATCAGATTTAGATTTCAAATGCCCACAATGACCCATAAGAAGGGCTTCTTGTTTGAAAAGCTCTGTGAGTCTCTGCTCACACACACACAAGCTTATAGAATAGACAAAAACATCTCTCCAGGGCCTCTTTTTTACATTTTAAGAATCTGACTTTGCTTTCTTTTATACAAGAATAAAAGCACAGCTTCTTCAGGGCAAGGAGTGCCAACTAGAATACCGATTAAAGCTCTGCCAGTTAGCAACACCTTCACAACTAAACACACACATGAAGACACATCAAACAGCAGAGCACACAGAGTAGCTGCACATCAGTAAGTTTGAATTTTTTTTTTGACAACTTCCTTTAACATTACCTCGTGTCTGTTTGGCACGCAGAGATAAAATGTGTTTGAGATCTGTTTTATAATTGCATGTTAAATGCAACACAAATGTGCAACAAGTGTCAAAGATGGCAACGGGAAAAAAAAACGACTCATACTTGTTTTAAAAACAAGTATTCCTATACTGAGCGACAAACAAGTCTGGCACCCTGGAGAGTTCGTATTGTATAAGTTAAACTTTTTTTTTTGAACGTCCGAATAAAGAATTGAGCAATAGTTCTAAAAATCAAACTATTGTGGCGTTCATAAAGACGCACAGCAAATATATACAATGTAAGAAAACCCTCTGGTTAAAATCGAGACTGACACCTTTAAGTTTTACAAATGCAAACCAGAAACAGAAACGCAGAAGAAGAAAAGCTGAATGAAGCTGCTGTAAAACCAGCCTTCCTAATAAAACCCCCAACAGCTGCTTTCACTCAGCTCCATCATTCCTCACAAACAGTCAGGTATTTTAACAGAGCCTCTATAAGCTTATTGCATTACTCAACTAGTGTATTTATGCATATTGTGGTGAAAATAATATACAATTGGTGGTCACCCACAGAAAATTACTAATTGACTTAATGGTTTCGCTAAACTGGAACTGCTGGTCTACCTAATAATATTTGAACATAGTTTACCAGCAAGGGCTGAGCATGGAGACCATTTAGGGTCATTTATTTTGCTATATTTGGTCGATTTAAAAAGCCTAAACCCTAATCTGAGACCAGTTCATTATGTGGTGGTGGTGAAGCTATCCAGACTCTAGTGACAGTGCTAAGACTAGAACCTGAATCAGTTGTTGTCATTTCCTGTAGGTGACAAGGCCTCGTAGAAATGATGATCTGCAGACAACTYAGTTCAGTGAACTACTGTGCACGTACAATTACACCATAAGTGCAGGAGGGGTCACACCTGATTATTTGTGATTTGATTATAGGCACTGGTTCAAGCTTTATTGGGTGTGTTTAGTTTTTTTCCACACTGACTCTGCAGTTTGGTTTRTACTTTGCTGTGCACAAAGTGGGTGCTTAGATTGCTTATGTCTTGGTTTAGCTGTTATAGACGATGTCCAGATTACATGCCTGTTCAGGGGAAAATATGCCTCCATTTGTCACACACTGACACAGTTTAATATTTTTTTTTCTGCTATGCTTTGGTCAAATTGACAGACTAATTTGTCACGGCTCCACTTCAAAACTGAAACAATGACTGTAAAAATAAAACCACACCATTTCTATACAAAGAAAAATCAAGATATGGAACAATCAACGAGGAATCTTATGCTTAAAATGACCATTAAATTAAATTGGCCACTTACTGCACATTATTATCTTTTGTGGCTGAAGTCTTTAAAAGCACATATTTAGCAAATAAAATATTAAGAGGGTACATGTGAGAATTTGGTCAGAACCTAAGCAAATTTTCAGATTCCTGCTTTTTAGGCTACATTTTGATACCTGGATTCCTGAAATCATGAGCGGTTCTAGACATCTGGGATTTGTCTTCCTAATCAGTATAACCCATTATTTAAATTAAATCCTATTTTAGACTATTCTAATGA